AGATACTAATCATAAGATGTGCATATGATAAAAAATATAAAACATAGCCAGGTTTCTTCTGAATACATTTTTAAACTGTTTGAAGACATTGTTTAATGTCTAATTCACTTAAATTTTAATAGATATCAAAATAATATTTTTAGAGAAGAAGATGTATATCATGACTTTTAACCTTATCATCATAGAAAAGTGAATACATAAACGATTCATTATTTTCAAGAATGTCGTGTGTTTTTCCAAAATAACTTAAACCAATTCAGCTTCAATTTTTCTTGAAAATTTATATTCTAACTCTTCATTCATACTAATTCAAAAATAAAAATGATAATAATTACATAATTCCATTGAAAATTCGATATGTATGATTAATTTTGATAAAAAATAATTTTGTGACAACATGTCATTGATACACTAAACATTCCAATAGATCAACACATTTACCTTATTCATACTTGCATTATTCTAGAATTAGAAGAATTTGATCTATTTCAGGAAATTACGTGGAGGCATGAAGGCCATGCACAAACTGGCCACACGGAAAAATGCAACCGTCTGGAAAATGAGGAGAATTTTACTTGATGGGACCCATCAGAATGCTGAATGCTTGATGGGACCCAATATAATCCATTTTACTCGATAGATCCCTCCGAAGGGTCACTGATAGTTATGATCTGTTGTGCTTGGTTTCCACTTCAATGAAAAAAAGAAATTGTTCCCTAAGTTAAGTTAGTCAGATTTACCATGGCTCCCATCTTCATCATGCAAGAGCTCAATTTCTCAGGTCCCAAAATGATATCACAGTTAAAATGAATGGGCGTAATTACTTACTCCTTCCTTCTATTTTTTCTAAAATTCTTCGCCGAAGTGAGGTAAGTTGCCTATTGTGGTCCATGAAGTGTATACGGGGAGAAGTCAATTTTCAACAAAGAGCCGCAATGCTTTTACTAACCCGGATTCGTTACAAGAATAATTACAAGCAATTACAAGAACTCGTAGTAGAACATCATTGACCATGGATGGAACTGCCATACGTATCAGGTGAAATACGTGAGTTTAGAAAAAGGTGGGCATGCATGGGTGTGAGAGAAGTGCATGTATAAAGGCTTTCGTTGTGGAATTTTGACATGTCAGGATTTAGAAGAGGTTAGAATCCTATTGTGCAATGGACAAGCATATGTTCAGACCATTATGCAAATATAAAACTCCTTTCGTTTTGTCCGTATTCATTTCGTATTCTTCGTGCTACAACCTGATTACATGCTTGTGCTGGCCGTGATCTTTGCACATTTTTAATCGCTAGCATGCTCAGAACTGTCACGTGTATATTTGTTAGTTTCTTAGCAGGAAAGCTCTTGCAATTCGACTGCTTGTGGACGTTCAGTTACAAATACTCTTAACGTAGAGCACAAATGTCGTTACCACAATTGTTAATAGTCTTACGAGGTCTTGAAAGATCTGAGTCAATTATAGGCTCATGCTCGAACAAAGAAGCCCGTCATTTCCTAGGCGCAGGAAGTCGATCATTGTGGCTCACGTCACATCGTCCATGATCATCACCAGAATCTCAATCGGAAGATGAGCTCAGCTGTGTGTCGGAGAAGAATGCTGGCGTGGTAACAACGGCAGGAGATAGGAAATGCACAATTGCAACAACCAAACCTATCATGAAGGAGAAAAACACAGATAACTATGGTACTCTTCTGAATGACAAAAAATCTGATGGCAAACCTGCATTTTCAGTGAATTTGGAAAGAAAAACTACGACTAATGATGCTGAGTGTAAAAAAAAGGTATCGGAAAAAAAATAGATATATACATTGATAGCAAAGATGTGAAATTTCCTTATTGATAATGAAACCTTAACAATGAATGATTGCCCGGGATAAAAGAGCGGATAACATTTGGAACGGAATATTAATGTTTAAGATAGTCTAGGGTGGAGTAAGAAACCTTGACGATGAATAACTTTAACGTGATCCATCTCAATAACATCTCTTCTTGAATATGAAGATAGAAACACTTCAATACTGAAATACTCGTCATTTCCAAAAATGTGATCGAAAAATATTTCAACTGTTTTTATTGACCTGTGTTCAACATGAATGATTTGTTGATTATTAACACGTATGGTGAGAACTCATGAACATCGCAAAACGCCTTTCTGGAGAGATCCTTGTCCACATGACACTCCACACTACACACAGAGAGTTCTGCAATCACTAAACAACACAAGCGCAATGAGACACTAAACATCTAGCTTACAAAAAGTGTATTATCATATAGATTGTATTATTACAGTCGATATGATAATACACTTTGTAATCTAGATGGATTCATGGTCGTCCTTTAATTAGAACAAGTTTACATTTCAGACTGTCAACCGAATCGCTGGATCAACTCGAACCACTGCAAAGAATCAAGTAAAGATCAACGCTATGATTTCAGCCTCGACAGAATTTCACTCAATGTTATTTTCCAGCGAACGAATGCTTTTGCGTTCTGATACTCATGTCGATGACAAGGAAAAGGAGAGTTAGGTAATTGATTTTACAACCTACAAATGCAGGTCAAACTGTACAAATCTGGCGAAGTAGATTTGCAAGAGTCTGTGGAAGAGATTCGATATCTCTTAGCAATGATTAATTGAGATCCTTTCCATTTCCATATTACATATGGAAATGGAAAGGAGTTCAAATATTTGGTGAAAGATGGTGCACCGTTTCCAAAAGAGACAGCCTGAAATCCATCACCACAATCTGGTTAGTAGCTTAGACAGGGATCAGTCTGAAGAAGTAGTCCAAGAATAAGCATAAGTAAACAAAACGGTTGAGATGCATGTAGTAAGGGAAGAGACTCCTCACACATAACCAGATCCAATTATCCTCACAGCAAAGATGACATAGTTCCAACTTCTGAGCTCTTGCATGTACAGAGAGTGCTTCGTGCAGGTGCAAATCAAGACTAAGCTTGCAAACTGTTCCTAGAAATGGAAGCGCTTGCACTCTCGGTATAAGTACTCAATGCGATCTGCATAATACAAAAGGCAATCATCACTGTCGATATTATCCTCACAATCTTAATTAGCTGCAAACCTCGTACAATGAGAAAGAGGTTTGCAGCCAACTGTGAGCTCTTCGTATATAGTGCGGATTTGGGAGGTGGATGTCGTTGAGTAGTATACCCTGATGAAGATGTTGTTCTCACCAGTAAAACCACGGTCACATTTCATGTTGACGTTAGCAAAATCGAAATTCGAGAAGGTGGAAAATATTGCCTCCTTTTAGCTCCTGAAATTGAAAGCATAGAGATTACATTATTAATTAAACTACAAATTGCAGCAACGTTTTCCTCTCGTTTTAAAAATGGGAAACAGGTACTTCCAAAACGTACCAGAAATGGTTTGACTGTATAAGTGCTTTGTCCTGACTCGTTCCCACGGATCTTCATAAACCGCTGCTGATTTGAACTGTGCGGAAATTACATGACGCCGGCGTCACTGTGTCATGGAGTATATCACATGTTGAAATTTATTCTGTGACACAGTAACTGATCGGCCCTGGAAGTCTTTTCGTGGATCACATGTAGAAATCGAATTGAATCCGTTCATCATTTGCGAGAACCTGCAGATGTTTGCAGGCACAACAGTACAGCATCTCGCACACACGTCCAGAAGCAAGGAATAGGTTGAGCGCTTCTTCCTATCAGGGGTCAATGAGAGTAGCAATTTCTCATACAGCGCCCACCGTTTCTAGAAAATCGAACTGTTCACTATCATTGCAAAACAATGTAATTGTTTTGTAATTTGTACAAGCTAATTCGATTAATAAGAAATTAAGCATTTCATGACCATAAAATCTCAAGCTAAAAATTTATATATTTAACAAGTGTGAATATTACAAAAAATATGTTAACATTCAAATTAATGTGCATGAATGAGAACTGAAAATTTAAAATCAAATATTTGCATTTAATTTGAATAATGTACTACTATGGAGAATTTCGTTTTGTGTAAGAAAGCTTGTTCTGAAAAAAGATGTAAAATCCGTAAAAATTGTTTAGGTATAAATCATAAGTTTTTACAATCTTCTTTGATAATTATAATTACAAATGTGCTGGAAGCGTAACTCATCGAAATACAAAAAAAATACAAGCGATATTTTTCGCAAGAATTAATTCTGAGAAAACTTTGCGGCCACAAACCGAGTATCAAAACTGTTATTTACGACATATACCACGTGTCCCCGTGACATGGAGGTGACATTAACTTCTGAATTACGGTTTCCAACTATCACTCTTTTCGCATCAAAATCATTATATCATACTTCCCAAATATCATGTTAGTATGAAAACCTCTCCTCATTTTAAAACTAAGTTAATTTGCCATGTACTCATAAGAAAGTTATTGAACTGGATCTTACCCACTGCATGACGTGAAAAAATGGTCCCAAAGATTGCTCCAACTGCTTCTCAAAGTACACTGAATCTTGCTTATATTTCTTCCAATGAAAGAGATGAATGGCAGTAGGTTTGTGCTCGTGACTGTGTAGGAAATCTTCCCCTGTGCATCTTTTTCTTTCGAGTGTCAAGGGATAGGAGGTTCAATGGATTAATCGAAATGAATCCTAAGTATTTAATGTGAAGGCCAATCCAACTTGTTATCAAGGTGTCAAAAGAAATTGCACATGGAATAAGAAATCTGTAACCTTCTCTATATCATCCACAACAAGGTCAAAATAAACGTGAAAAACGTAACTGTGAGTCTAACATGACGACTCACTTTGATTAGTTATACGAAGAGGGATTTGATGTTAGTAGTAGAGGGAAAAATAATGTAAAATAAAAATAAGTATGTTTGGGTTATAATTTAATGTTAATAGCTAGGTTGGTACAAGAAATCGAAAATATTTTTTTGATGAAGGGCGAGGGCGCTGGAACCGCAGCTGGTTCATACGAGCCAGGAGCCGGACCAGAGACGGCCTCGGAGGCGCTCTGTTAGAACGCACAGGGTGGAGAATGGAGCCATGGGGGCAGGGCGGAATGGACTGCCGTAGACTGCCACCGCGTCGTCGCTGTCCATGCGCGCGGAGCCGGCTTCTCGCAAGCGGGGCTCGGTGGGAATGGCCGTGCGTGATCGCAGCCCTCAAGAGATTGCAGAGCAGCGAGCCGAGAAATTGTTTCGCCGGCGTGGAAGACATCGCCGTGGTCGCCGATGGATTATCGAGCGAGCTAGCTCTGCGGAATCACCAGTGCCCGGACATGGGGGCTGTCAAGCCCTGCGACCTCGAAGATCAGCAAGACGTGCGAGGATATGAGATTACTTCCCTAGTATTCACGACGAGCTGGGGCAACTGTGTTTGACTAGGATTCCGCGTTCGAAGGTATACGACATGGCTCTGGTGTGCAAGAAGTGGAAGGCGTATCTGCTGCACCCGGAGCTGTACAAGGCTCGAAGGCTGCAATCCGTTCGCGAAGATTGGGTGTTTATTTTAGGAGTAGCGAATGTCGATAGGAAATGTGTTTGACTAGGATTCCGCGTTCGAAGGTATACGACATGGCTCTGGTGTGCAAGAAGTGGAAGGCGTATCTGCTGCACCCGGAGCTGTACAAGGCTCGAAGGCTGCAATCCGTTCGCGAAGATTGGGTGTTTATTTTAGGAGTGACGAATGTCGATAAGAAATGGCGGGCGTATCGACCCACCGTGAACGATTGGGTGGTGATACCACCGTGCCCTAGCGATTTCGTGGTTCACACGTGCGACAAGGAGAGCATGGTGGCCGGGCTGAACTTGATGGTCCTAGGGCAAGGCGGAGATGGATACGTAGTGTGGAGATTCGACACCATCAGGAGTGCGTGGTCGACGACTCCGAAAATGCATACTGATCGGTGTCTATTCGGCTCGGCCAGCTTCGGACAATTTGCCTACTTCGCCGGAGGTACGAGTCGAAGGAGTCTTCTGAAGTCGGTCGAGAGGTACAACTCCGAAACCGACTCATGCTGCCTGACATGAACACGGAGAGGAAGTGCTGCTCGGGATTTGTGATGGACGGCAAGTTCCACGTCATTGGCAGTCAACAACAGTCGATCATACTCAATTCGGGAGAGGTGTATGACCCGGCGATGAAAACTTGGAATCTAATTGAGGACATGTGGCCCAAGAAGTTCGTCCCGAGCACCCAAGTCGCGCCACCTTTGATCGCCGTCCTGAACAATCAGCTGTATGGCATCAACATCATCGAGAACATGTTGATGTCCTACGACAAGGAGAAGAACCAGTGGCAACTCCTGGAGAAGGTTCCTCATCGGGCCGAGAACACCAATGGTTGGGGCCTGGGCTTCAAAGCCGTGGGCGACGAGTTGTTCGTGATCGGCGGTGCGCGAAGGGTCGGCCTGTTTTTACCACAGATTCATGCATACAGTCCGAAGGCGGAAGGCAGTGAGAGATGGAGCATCATCGGAGTCGCGAGAGGTGGTATTATGCGGGATGGCACTCGTGGTGGGTCGTTTTCTCTGAAGTAAGAGCTGGGACCAATGATTCGCGATGGCGGGAGGTGCTTGGGAAGACGCAGTTCGGACCTCGATTGATGAAGAAGAAGGGGTTTCGTGGGAGGTGGTCGTTGCGCAGGAATGGGCGGAAGCATGGTAATTCCGGAGGGTAGTAGAGAGTTAGATGGATCTATCGAGTCATAATCGAGAACGTATGACTGCATGTGCCTTGCTAATATGTCCTCTGCGTTTTCCAATGTCTGCAGAAAGGAGGTCCATACCTTGCTCTTTATTTGTGGGGATTCATGCTGGTTTTGTCACTCGGGATGATGGCTATTTATCCCGTTCTCATTGCCCGACTGTTTAACAAGTTCACTCCAGTAAGTATTTCAAATCGGGGTTCAAGCGTTTATTGTTGCCTGTCAATGTTTGTCTGGAAGACATATGTTGTCAGCAGCCATTTACCTTGGAACTGCCTGAAGCTGTGAATCATGTTACTCCCACGGTGCAATGCGGTGCGCATCGCTAACATATGGGTCCTGCTGGGCATATCTGCACAGCTGCCCGAAGGAGAGCTGAGGGCAAAAATCGAAAAGCTGGCGTCATTACTAAAGTTTCCCTTGAAGAAGCTGTTTGTCATTGACGGATCCACAAGATCTAGCCATAGCAATGTAAGTTGATACACATTCGTGGATTAGTGCTCAGATCATACATGGATGTTCTTCTGCCTCATGCTTCGTTGATATTTAAGGTCTAAGATGATACGGTTTTGCAGGCATACATGTATGGTTTTTTCAACAGCAAGCGCATTGTGCTTTATGATACACTTATACAACAGGTACTTCTGGTGAATTGTTGCTTCATTGGAATAAGCAATATATGTTCCATCGCTTTATCTGAAGTCATTTGGTTTTCTAGAAGGAATGTTGTTACTATGTTTGTAACGTAAATCCGGACGATCGTGCTTTTGCATGTATCAACGATCTTTGTGCCTATATCATCAAAGTGAAGAGATTCGATGCTGACCAGATGACGAAATTTGCAGTGTAAGGAGGAAGAGGTCGTAGCAGTTCTCGCACATGAACTTGGCCACTGGCAGCTTAGTCATACCATGTATTCCTTTCTAGCCATGCAGGTATTTACCAACAGCTGATCACAGTATTTCATGTTTTTGGAGTGTTTAAATTCAGACCAAGCACTCATGCAGGCCTTGCATATTTGTATACACAAATTGTTCTCCAAGTTTTCTTACTTTATGGTTGCTTAGGACAGACGGCTACTGTCGAAAACCTTGCTCGTTGCTTACCGGATGATTTGAGTTCACATAGGGTGTTATTTACCTGTAGCTCCGGATTGTACGTTATGCATTCATCTTATTAAGAACATGACAACTTGAATCGACCATTGAGCTTGACTGATTAGCTTGAACTTGACAGGTTCTTACGCTGTTGCAATTCGGCGGTTATACATTAGTTCGCAATTCAACTGATCTTTTCCGAAGTTTTGGTTTCTCAACCCAGCCTGTTCTTATTGGCCTCGTGTTATTCCAGGTTCTTTCCCTCTCCTCTTCAGTTATGTACTTAATATTGACCAACAGCTGATCGAGATAAATGGTGACAGCCAGATCAAATGAGTTGTGTCATCAATATCCTTCGTTGACATAGCTCCGTAGTTCTTAATTTTCTTGAGAGTTTGCCATTTTTTTGAATCTTGAAGAAATACATTTGTTTTCACATCTACTGCCCTCTTTGATGTACAGTAGAAGTTTAGTTGAACAATTTGTTTTGTAAGAGGTATAACTTCTTTCTGGTCTTATATCTCGTTTCTGGCCGTCTCGATTTCTTGAAACATGCAGCATACAATCATGCCCTTGCAACATCTTGTTAGCTTTGGCCTCAACCTGGTCAGCAGGGAATTCGAGTTTCAGGTTAACGTTCCCTTCCACCCTTCTCCGTTTCATCCCCATATACATCAATTGCAAACTTTTGCCGCAGTATCGTAGTCGGCTGTACAATCGTGTTGTTGAAGTAGCTCAATACTTTTGCTGCTACTATTTTGCGTCGATATTTACCAAATGGTGCTCACAATTTAGATGACAAACAAACAATGAGTAGATTACAATTCTCGCTTTCTTCGAAATTCTCATGAGTTTTAGTTCGTGTTAAACTCAGTTTTCGCTTTCTGTTTCTTTACAGGCCGATGCATTCGCAAGGAAGCTTGGTTACGCAGATTCTTTGCGAGGCCTCATCAAGTTACAAGTACGGTCAAGAATGCAAAAACTGTTTATGGTTTTATCTTTTCTGAGTATCCTTCGGATTTGCATCTCTAGATGAGAAAGTTAGTATTGATATGTACGTTTTGGATTCAAACTTTTTGTTTGGTTAGATGACGAACTCTAATACTACAGGCAAAGAGTTCTTATAAAGATCCACTAATCCTTAAGGAGCTTTGTACTGAATATTAACATGCTGCACTACTACTGTGACAGGAGGAAAGCCTTTCAGCAATGAACACAAATCCCTGGTACTCAGCATATCACTACTCTCATCCACCGCTTGTCGAACGGCTCCAGGCTCTTGACAAGTACACAAAGAAGGACGAATGATGGAATCACGTCTGGAGAGGAAGCACCAGAGTTGTAGCGTCAGCTATTAGAGCTTCATTTGAAATCGTCCAGCGGACATATGTACACAAGAGAAAATGTTTTGGAATTGTGCACGGATGACAGGGATCTGGTGACTTCACCAGAGTATATCATATGAGTAGAACATCACACCTTAGGCTGCTTGGGACTTTGGTAGGTGGCTTTACCTCATTGGTAAGATGGGCCAGCAGTTCTTGTTCAAGGGAGAGCTGTGATCAATGATCTTGTCTTGAACTTGTCAACACGAATCTGCACTTTCGCACTTGTTCCACATTCATGTGCTCCTGTGAAGCTCGATTGTCATTGAGAATGCGTACTTCATGGTTGTATTTTCAACTTCTCAAGGGGATCCCTTCTCAACCCAATCCTTTGAAATTCAATGTGAGTGAGTTGTAGGTCTTAGTTTGCTGCTCAAATTTGTAATAATATCTCATAATTCTTTTCCTGTAAATTAATGATAGACATCTGCTAATTGAATAACTGGAATGTGCGGATATGTGTTTTTCGAGGATTGTCAATCTCTTTAGTCAGACCCTTCGATCTTCAGATCTTTAGATGTTTTCATTTCGCACTGTGTTTTTGAACTTGAGCAGATGCAAAAGTCAACGCACTAGGCCAAAAGGTTTTGGAAATGAAGACGGAATAACGTAAGGTTTGAATTCGATTTCAGAGCATAGGTTTTGGAGTGAGGATCAAGTTTTTGTTGGTCCATTTTTCTGTTGAATTCGCTGTTGGTTGGGGTTTTGCCCCCTCTTTCATGCTTGAACTTTTGTTTAATGCTTTCAAAGAGCTCCGGACTTATTACGATATTGATGTTGAAATGCGCATCCAAAGTGTACATTTCCAGTGAAGTCGTGTTGGCAGAGAGACTGTCGAACGAAGTATAAAAGGACAGACTTAGTGGCCCATGCATTCTCAAATCTTCGTAAAAGTAATTGGAGCAAGGACGGAAGTGTTGGAGGTATTGTGTGTGTCTTTTCACACATTGTACCATAATGTCGGGATATTTTTATTATAATGGAAAACTTTATGTGAACTTGCTCCGCGTTTTGAAAGCAAATGTTGACTCTTGGAAGTGTAATCGTTCGTACTAGGCCATCGCAGCAATCTCTGCATTCACAGCAAGTTGCTGTTGAATAGTTTTTCATATGCAGAGTGATTTAGTTACCTTGGTCATGAAATATAATATATTATGTATAAGTACAAGTAGATTAATTGTATATATTTAAAATTATGACTGGTATTGGATGTATGATACTAACTATTGCTTTCTATGAAGCAATTTATTGTAATGAAAACATGTCGTTTAAAGTAGGTCAGATAACACATTAAAGAAAGTCATAGTCTAAATATTAAGATAGTCGTAGTCACCGCCTTTTGTGCACCTCTAACAAACATGTAAAGTTGGATGCGTATCTTCATATATTCCTTACGCTTATTCTTACAGTTGAGTAAGAAAGAGATGACAGGATTTCATACTCATATTTTGTTGTTGTTGCTCCAATCGCTGTTCATTCGTAAAGCTTATTGTCTTTCTAGAGCAAGATTTGAACTGTGATAACAAACAAGGTTACGATTGACTGGGAGTTACTGTAGAATGAAATGAACTGGCAGTTTGAAGTTGTGCTATGTGTAATAGCAATTGCCATCAGTTAGTATTTACCATCACTATCAACCCAAGTGTAGAAATGTGTCATCACCTCTTGAGGAGTGTAATTCCCCAAATGCTTCCTTCATTCAACCCCATGTATCATCTCAAACACCACAGCTTAAGTATATGTGACCTCCAAATCATATGTGACCTCCAAATCATCATCAAGTCAAGTGAAAATGTGTTGCAAACCAGGAGGATATAATACGTAGACAAAGAAAAATTTCCCTGAACTGAAAAGAGTAAACTTTACGAGTAGAAACTCTCATGCATGATAGAACCAAGATTCTTGAAATTGAATGCTTTCCCAACATATCGTAAAAAAGCACTCATAGTGTTAAAATGATTCAATTGACTAAAATTCAATGTAGGATTTCATAATAGTGTATTTAAATTTAAGTAGTTAAAGGAGAGTGTAGATTTTTAGTTGAACCCTAAATCTGAAACTCACATAAAACCTACAATGAATGTAAAATATCTGTAAAATGTTGTCTTCTGTTCACATACTTCACATATGTTAGTATTAACTCAAACTCTAGCTAGGTTAACCCTAGTTAGAATTAGGTTTTAGATTTTTTCTTCTTTTGTTAGGGTTTCTACTACCCACTATACAGGAGCACAAGCCATAGCTCTCCTCGAACGTTTGTAGCTTTCAGTAAAACCTTCTTGTTCTTCTTGTACGTCCGTAGTGACGAACCGAGTATATGCGCATATGCTTGTGATTTTGTGTTTTTATTTTCAACAATATATTACCTAATTAAACTAAAATATTAATAAAATAATTTTTTCATTTACATCTTTTTCAGACATGCTAAGTATGAATTTATATCCAAGCATAGACAAAAATATACCAAAGTTGATGAGAATCTAAAGGCCAAAAACCCATGAGTGTAATTTTGTCTCTCAATGATGAAGCTGTCCTTTTACATGAAACTCACAGGTCTGGCCATGTCCTTGCCAACTTTCATACTACAAGTTCAACTTAATTTTGGTGTGATGATGTTATTGAAGATATCAATCAAAGTTTTTTGAGTGTGAAAGGTATAGAAAAGCCTTATGAATTTACAAGCAATAGTAGAGAAGACTATATGAAAAAACACTTAAATTTTTCTAGTAAGAAATGGTGGTTATGTAAATAAAATATTGTTCGATGCCATGTTAAATAAAAATTTTACAAATGTCAAATTCAAACATTTTTTTTTAAATTCAAACGATTTTAAATGTTGAATGCAATTTTTTTTATTGATCACAAACATCTTATGAGAGCTTCAGACTGTGAAAATTGCCAAAATAAAACAAGATTTAGAATCATATGTCTTGATTTTTAAACCTACAAGATGAATCTAAATAATTTTGTTATTTGTTAAACTGAAGAGAAGGGTGTTAATTATTAAAAAAAAATGGTCTCATTAATCATCTGAACGTTATAAACAAAAATTTTGATTTCAATCATAATACTACTTTTAAATTTATTTTTTTGATAAAATCAAAAGTTTATGAATGTATTTGATTTAATTTTTTTATAATTATTTTTATCTTAAGTGTTTAATAATCATTATATACTAGTGTGAACATTTGCACAAAATTGGATTTAAAATACCTATGAATGCATAGTTTTGATTATAAATGATCAATTTAGAAATCTTAAGATGAAATTAACATCCTCATTAATATAAGCCATTCATATAAGCCATGGCTTAAAGACAAATTTTTTTTTATAAATTATATGTATGTTTCCTTACAAATTATTCCTCATCTTCAAACATATGTGTTTCAATTAGAAGTCAAATATAATCAAATGTTAATGTAAAGTCTAGATGTGATCTCTCAATATAAAAAATTCAACTAATGTAGTGTTTTTTTACTCATAACTTTAATTAGCATATATGATTAAAGACTAACTTCTACTTCTAGGTTATTTAAGGTAAAACCAACAAGACTAAACTTTTACTTTGTGTTAGTTCATTCAAGGTGATCTTAGTTCCTCATGAATCATGCAAGAAATAATGCACGGATTTCTACAAGATCAATATTTTGCAAATACCATCAAGATACAAAATAATCTCATCAATTATATCAATCAAATATAATATCAACAAAAAGTATATAATAATGATGGTTTCATTTTTTGGTATTATTTCTGCTCAATCTCAAGCAAATTGACAAAGACACAAATAAAAGCACAAATAAATCCAAATTTTTCAAAGCTTAAAAGTTTAAATAAATGAAATTCTGATGATGAATGCGTTCTTATGAAAATAGGAAAAATATAAAACTTGACACATCAATGATTCAATTTCTATTTGAGATCTTTAGATTTGAAATATTATGAAATATTTGAATATATATAAGTAATCAAATGTATATTTCAAATAGATTTATGAAATTAAAAATTAATGCTAGAAAATAATACACAGAAAATACAAGTAAACATGAGAAAAAAAAACACACATTTTATTGTTTTGTGAGCATTTTTGACATAATCATATATGTTTTGTTTTAAATTACCTTATTTGTGTGTCACAAACAAAATTTGTGATATTTCTTATGTAACAATAGCTAACATGCTAGAAATAAATAATATCAACCTTATTAGTATGCATTAAAACATATACTGACTTGTTTCTTCACAAATATTTAAAAAATTGTAGATATATATATGCACAAACAATGTACAATTTTTACATATACATATATTTCACATGTATATGACCATATACATCTTTTATAAAAAAAAAGTTGCAAACTTTTCATTATGCAAGTTATATACATCGAGTTTAAAAAAATTTAGAAAAAATTATATAAATTTCTTAAATCTCTACGACTTTAAATTTTCTTTATTGAGTTTGATTTCAAATAGATAACATTAAGAAATTTTTATAACACATGCAAAAAACAAGCACAATATGCATACTAATTATCTTTTATCTATTGACATGATATGCATATATAATATTGTTGAAATCATGAAACATATCTATTAAACTTATTCATTTTTTTTATTTTTTATTATATTCATTTAGTATCTTCCATCTATTCAATTACAACAATCAACATTTTTAATCATATGTGATGATTTTTGTATCATAATAATATAAAATTTATGATTAGGTCTTATAAATAAAAATATCCATATTTTATTTTTACAGTTAATTTTACAATAAATTTATTGAATTATTAATGTGAGAATTTTTTTTCTATTTTACTTTATTTTAAAGCTTTATAGCTTTACAATCATACATGAATAAATAGTATTTGATTTTTTTTAATATCATCCTTGTTGACATAGAATAATAATAACATTTAACTTAACTTTATTATTTAATTACATATTATTATACATTTTAATTGATAATTTAAAAATAAAAGTATATAATATAAAACTTTGAAATACCAGTTTATATTTAAAATTTCTAACTCTTGTCATCAACCTATTGAAGTTTCAACATTCTCTTACCTGATGTTGTTTGCTGCTGAAACAATTCAGTCATTTTTTATCAGAATCTTTAATTATCATCAACCTATTGAAACAAGCTCTGAACATGTTGTTTACATTTTTTTGTTTACTTTTTCTATTCATATTTGATGGATGCAGTATCCTTGGTAATATCTATTGATTTTATTATATTAATTT